TCATTTTCCGCCGCATAAGCCGAAGGCAGCCTCAACTGCAGAGTAATCCCCGAACTGTGGGCCAAGACAAACAGCAAGTACCCCCTGCCCCCCTGGCCCTGCCCCCTGCCCCACCTTGCAAAACAATAATAGAGGGGGATGGGGATGGGCTGGATGGATGGCAACTTCAAATGCAGGGCCCCGTCGAGTGGCCTGCCGCACAAAAGTAGGCAACGAATTTTCGCTCTTCTGTTTGCCAGCCCTTCCGCGAAGTGGAAACCTTCAAACGCTGCAATCCCGTAGAGTATTCCCCAGGACAGTCCCTTCTAAACTTGGAAGCAATTGGGAATCGAAAAAAGGAATCGCTGTGGCCAGAAGGGCCCGAAAAACCCAGCGATTCGTGAGAATATTGCATTAAAATATTCGTTAATCGTCTTCTTACACACCTTTGGCCTCCGATTTGGCCAGGATAAAAGCTCCAAGAAGGTCAACAGACCCCCAGGGATTATCGAGAGATAAATCGAATATTCGAATAAAACATTTCTCAAGGGACAAATCCCACAGTTTTTTGCCATAAACCGCAAAATAATTATTCGATTCTGATTCCATTCCATCCATAACTTGTGTCCACCCATCGAGGGTGCAGCCAGGGTACACGAAATCCATCGAGTGCCATCGGGAAGCCATCTCTAATGCAATTTGTGCCGTCGAGTGCACACACAGACACACACAGAGACACACACACTCGTGTGGGAAATATTTATGGCCAAAGAAAGAAATCTGTTTTTAGCATTGCATTAAAAATTGAAGCGATTGAAGCGGAGAGTGCAGGCCTAAACGAGGTCATGGCTGGGCCCAAAGGATGTGCCGTTATTTATGTACTTGGAAGGGAAATGTGATTTCGGAGGTAATGCATATGTTATGTCCCGGTTTTTGTTACCCATCAAAATCTCGGAGATGGCCCATCATTTAGTGGCCTCTGGAAACAGTATTCTCTTTATAAAGTCCTGCCTTTGATGTGCGGCTTCCCTTTTTAGGCACCCACTGAACCACTGAACCACTGAACCTTGAGGGATCCCATCTCTCCCTCTCGTCCGCTCACCTTGGACTCTCGACGCACAGGGCGGAAATTGTGTGTTTCCCTGGGCGCCTCTGTGCGCCATGTGTAATCCTCTGGCCCTTTGGGAAAACAAGAGGAAAGCCTCGCATGCCTGGGTAAACTCTTTAAGCACTTCACATGGGCGCCAACGAGGACATTGAGGCTGTCGAGTGGGAGACGACACAACAACGTGACGTGTCTGTCTGCGGGCAGGCTCCTCCTTCTTGCCACTTGCCCCTTGCCTCACTCTTTGCCCCTTGCCTCTGCCTCTGAGGGCACCCAGAAGTTAAATTAATTGCACAAACTTTTTGCAAATTAAATGTCAAGCCAAACACTACTTTATCCGTTGCAGCACTGAAGGAGAGCGAGCAGAGCGCCAGGAAGGAGCCCGGACAGGACTAAATATTTGAGCTTGATTTTTATTTGGCTACGAGTCCGTCCCGGCACATTTTGCACGTCAAAATAGGCTCCGGACAGAGTCACAGCCTCTGCTATGGCGGCACGATGGGCAACGGATATTTTCGAACGTCACAAACATCAACATCGTCGTCCCGCCAGCGGGATAAGCGGTAAGTGGAAGGACATCCCCCCTCCCCACCCCCCTGAATTGTGGGTCAAGTCTCTGGAGAGAGAGAGAGAGAGAGAGAGAGACAGGGAGTTGTGGCTAATAAAGGGCGGTCAAGGGGGGGGCTGCGGAAAGCCATAAAAGTTGCAAGCATATGAGGCTGCCGCTGTCAGCATCTGTCGCCTTAATCAGAACATCGATAGTTGTGGCATGTGGCATGTGGCATGGGGCATGTGGCATGTGGTTGGGTTTACTTTATGACTTTGACAAATAGTCGACCGAAAAACCAAAGTATTTTCTTGTAAATTTCTTGTGCCACTTAATGAACTGTGAGGAATGTCCCCCTCCCAGCCCCTCCTGCCTCCCAGCCAGAATAAATCCTTTCAACAGGCCACTTTCCAAGGACTTGAGAGGAGCGCCAACTTTTTCAATTGTGTTCACAGTCGCAGTCGCAGTCGCAGTGGCAGGCAGAAGCTTCTTTGTGGCACGTGTGAAAGTAGGGAATGCAAGAGAAAACTTTCGAGGGCCAAAAGGAAATGTTAATTCCTTGGGATTTGCTGCAAACACAATTACGCGAGCGCCAGGACGGACGGGAGGGACGGGAGGGACGGTAGGGACGGGACAACTGGTTGACCTTTGAATACCCAAGTAGGGGCTCAAAATCGAATTGATTTGCCAAGTTAATTGCCAGCAAAAGAGAACAGAAAGCAGAGAGCTGAGAGCTGAGAGAGGCAGAGAAGGAAGAGGCATAAGGGATTTGGTGTCTGGCAATTAATTAAACGCCAAAGCCAGCCGGAAAGGGGCGGCAATTAAAAATGGCCATCGCCGCGTTGCCTACATGAGACGGATAAATGGTGGCATAGATGTCCAGGGCCAGGTCCAGGACGCGGGCTGCATCTCGAATTCCAATGCTCCTCCATCGAGGGCGGCCGCAAACATTTTCCAATTAATATTGAGAGGCGGCGCATTCCCCATGCGAGGTATTTTTCAATTAAGTTTTCCAGACTGCGCTTCTAGAATTCACTCCCTAATTAGTTGGTCCTTAGATGGTTGTGGCAGCTATGCGTAGACTTGCAGCACACCTCGTTTCGGGGGGGCAGGCACACACACAAGAGTATCCCTGTCACTGAAGCCCCTGCCCCTGTTCCTGTTCCAAAAATTGAATTGTTCTCTGGCTGTAAATTTTCTTGTGCCGCTTTTGCTACGACAGGGACGAGGCAGAGAGGGAGGGAATATACGGCTTCATTTGCATATAGAGTGTGTGTGGGGGGTGGAGATATTGACAGCCCGTTAGCAAGTCGAGCCAGAGGGGGGGGAGGAGGAGGAAAATGATACATAAAGATGTTCCACGAGATACAACAGCGATTCGATGACAATTTTTTCGGCCACTGGGCGGCACAAACACAAACACCAATCGATTTATGCATAACATACACAAAGAGGGGCACAGAGGGGCACAGAGGGGCACATCCGTCCACCACTCTCCGTTCTTCATGGCCGGCGATGATGATGGTGGATTGTCGATGGTGATGGCATTTGGTCACGTATCAAACGTTGTAGCTGTGAATTTTTATTGAATGTCTACACACACACACACACACACACAGACACACACGCATACATATAGAGAAAAAGATGTCTAGGGGCATGGCCATGGGGTGGGGGATGACTGATTCATGTCTATAGGTGTGTGGGTGTAGTGGTATGCATGTAACACGTAAGGCTTGTTGTACTTCTCTCTCTTTCGCCTCGTTTTAGCCGCTTTTCGCCTCGTAACTCACCTGCAAATGGAGTACAAAAAAAAGAGAGATCAAAACGAGGAAATAGATCGTTAGCAAAATGTTTTTACGACACATAAAGGGCTTAATTCTGGGCTTAATTCGAATTGCATTGCATACTTTTGGGCTGCGGGCGAAATTTGATGACACTGCAGAGAGTGCCGTCGAGCGGCATTGCATACTTTCGGGCTGCAAACTTTTTAACGAACATTTCGATGTTCATTAAAAAAGTTTGAAGCCCATTCGGGCCATGCCCATGCCCCAATAAAAAACCCCCAAAAATATATATATAAAGCCAACAACAGGAGCTGCCAAGTACCAGGGATAATCGACAGCCGACAACTTTTGCGCATATATTTCGGAATTTAATTCCAAGGCATACAAAAAAAACCCCGAAGAGCTGGAGAGCCAGAGAGCTGGAGAGCGAGAAAGGACCGGCAACAATTTACCAATTAGAATGTGCCACAACTTTTGTGGCACACAAAAATAAGTACAAAATAATTGCATTTCTCTTTCGCTTCGCTGCCATTTGCTGCCATCCTTCCGCTGCGGTTTATGACGACTGCACGAGCATAATAAATATTTCACACTAAATTGCACAATGAGTGTTAAAAGAGAGGCTAAAGAAGGAAACGCGAAACGAGAGACAGGCCCCCGGGCCCCAGGACCCGGATCGGGGCTCAAATGAAGCGAAACGAGAACCGAATGAGTGAGGGGCAACAAATTGTCGGCAAATGTGTGTGTGTGTGTGTGTGTGTGTGTCTGCGAATGACAGCCTAAGCGGGGGGCAAAATAAAGCAGAACCTGAGACAATTTCCGCAAAACGAGCGAACGAGCGACAGCCGCCTGAAAGCAGGCAACACAAAATTGCCAGCCAGCCAGCCAGCCATTCAGCCAGCCTATGGGAGGAGGGGCGGGTGATGGCGTAACGAGCGAGAATATCGCTTGAGACCCGGCTACTCCTCAACAACTCATTGTCTACCCGTACCTGGCTGGCTGGGGCTTTCTTCTCTCAGGCTTTCACTGGGAGGCTGCCAATGTCTGTCCGGCGAGGCGGATAATATTCTGGGTTGTCTCGATGTCAAGTCTGTTGCTGTTGTTGGCCCTACAGGCTCTCCCCTTCCCCCTCCACCTCCCTCTCTGATAACCTGTCTGATTATCTTCCAAGTCAGATTTTCGTAATGCACAAACTGACAGACAGACCCCAGCCCTGGGCCCAAGGCAATTTGCAAGAGTAGTACCCCCACCCCCCGCCCCCCTTCCCGCGGGCACACATGCATCCATTCATCCGCCTGTCTATCCATCGACTGACTGACGTTTAAGTAAACACACGTTTGCAACTATTTGCATTTGCATTTATTTGGGGGAAGCAGAGACGCCCCTACCACCGATCCATTAACCACCCCCACCCCCCACACACATACACGTACTCCATCGAATTGTTTGTATTTTCCGAGTACGCATACAGGAAAATACATCCGAGTATTTCCATATATTTTCATATCCTTGCGGCCAACAATATTTGGCCTGATCTCCGTCCTGGGGACTCTCTGGAGTACGCAATATTTTATTCGTAAAAATGGCTACGGACACGGACACGGATACGGCCAGTACAGTGCAGTACATAAATTTATGCATGCATTCTAGTTTATGTGTCAAAACAGCGTAAACAAGTTTGCAATTTCTTCTCTTGGCCCCTCTGGAAAAATGCAAAAAGCAAAAAACAAAAACAATGCACTAAGTTTTCTTTAACAGAGAGACAGGGAAAAAGTGAGGGGTCCAGGGGTGCGGGGGTGCGGGGGGGCAGGGTGGATGGAAGGCATATGTTTTATTTATTTGCTGCTTAGAACTTTATTCTCCTCCGCTTGTTCTGGCTCTATTCTGGCTTCGCTTTCCACCTCCATTCTTAAAGCCTCCTCCCTCTCTCTCTCTCCCTCTCTCTCCCTCTTATTCTGTGCACTTTGTTGCTGGCAATGCTTTGGCTTAGGACGCTTTATTGCACTTCTCGACTTTGGCAACTTTAAAGCGGCAGAAAAATACACAGCAAAGCAGGCAAGAACTCCCCCCCCACCCCCCCCAGAGAGCCCAGAGACCAAAGGGGTACCCTGTAAGTCGAAAAGAGCTCAAAAGGTTACCAAAAAGGGATTTAGTTGGTGTCCAAAGGGTGTCCTGGCTGCCATTATTAACCGTTTGTTCTGATTTTGGGTTTCTAGGGGGATATTATCATTGTATTTAATCCATGGCTTCAAAAATGTGGAAACCACAAGAAATAACATACGATATTCTTTGGAAACGATACACCCCATGGCTCGGGGGGTGCTAGAGGGTATCAAGGAACCCCCGAGTGGAACTTTTGCAGTCGAGGAGGACACACAGCGAACAGCCATTACATCTCTGCTCGTCCAGAACGTGCCTCATGTCTCAGAGGAGGCACCCAGTGCCGCCCCCTCCCCCCGCCAGCCGCCCACAACGTGACAGCAGCTGGGAAAGGGTATCCCCGTCGCTCAAGAGCGCTTGTTGTGTCATGCGGCCATGATTTGCCCAACTTTCGAGAACGATTCAAGCCCAAGAGAAATAAAAAAGCGAGGAAAGCGGAGCAAAGCGGAGAAAGCGAGCAAAATGAAACGACGAGCGGGCATTTGTGCAAGATTTGTTTTAATTTAAAGGAACTCTCATTTCCATTTCGTTGCATTTTCAATATGCACTTTGAAGATATTTGCTCTGCCTCTGCCTCTGCTTCTGCCTCTGCTTTGCTCTCCCATCTCCCAAAGAGAGAGAGAGAGAGAGAGAGACGAGCCAAAACGGAGGATAAATCAATGGGCAACAAATCACTGGCTGCGCAGCGCTCTATAAATATTCAACACGGAGGGGCACGGTCTGTCAATCGCTTGCAGCGCACGTTGCAACTGCATTAGACATTGCCTTTCACTCCTTTTTGGCCAACGGCCACGGCCACGGCCAACAGCCACGGCCAGGGAGTATTCAGCTTCGAAATTGGCCAAAAGGCATTGCATTGTGGGGCAGTTGCTGTTGCCCCCCCACACGTCTAGCAGTACAATATTCCGCTGGAGGATTCAAGTTGATGGCGCCATTGGGGGCGGGGGGCGAGGGCGAGGGCGAGGGCCAGGTCGTAGCTCAAGTACATGCCAGCTCTCTTCAATCCCAATGATCATCTGGGGGGCGCGGCAGCCCCAAAGAGCAGTTCATATCAATTTATGCAGGACGTGATGCTGCCCCCAAAGTTGGATATAAATTGGGGCAACACCAAATGAAGGGCGAGACTTAAAAGCCAGAGGGGAAAAACCAGGGGAAAACTATAACCAAATCATGGCGTAATGCCAATCAAAGATAAAAGATATTCCCCATGGAATTCCACAATTAAAACCTTTATTTCGAAAAGCTTTTCCCGCATTTCCCTCCCACCCCACCACCAAAGAACTCTTTTTAAAAGAATCTGTCGTCACAGTTGACTTATTTCGCACCAAAAACCAAAAAGCTGAAACGGAGTTCTGCCAAAATCGTATTTCATAAAAACACAACTCTTTTGTGCGGTGCGGCTCTGAAAAAGGGGCTGAAAGAGCAAAAATTATTTCATTGGTTTCACGGTGGCTGAGCACTAGCCCCCACAGAGAGCAAGCGAGAGAGGGAGAGCCACAGAGAGACCGAAAAACAAAAAAAAAACAAAAGGCGACAAAACAGGAAGCCCATTCACCCCCTAAGCTCCAATCAAAAGCCAAATCCGAAGCAAAGGCAGTGGCATAACCAGTGGCAGTGGCAGAGCTCCATGCGTGCCTGGCAACCAATTCAGAAAACCAGTCAAAATGGGCAAACGAAAGCAGAGGAAAAGCAGTGGGAAAAGCAGTGGGGAAAAGCAGAGCCCGGCCCGCTCTGGACAGGTCATTTCCCAACCGTTGGCTGTCGTCGCCCCCCACACACGTCACAACAGCATTAAAAAGTCATTTTTAGGTGGCCAAAAACAGTGGCGGTGGCGGTGGCAGTGGCACGGAGCCAGCCACGCGGTGGCATTTGCATCAAATTTGACGGCTCTTCTGCGCTTCACTGCCCCACCGTGTGGCGACAATAAGCCACTGAGTGGTGCAAGCCGCTCACTTCCGGCAAAGAGCGAGGGAGAGAGAGAGAGAGAGCGTGAGTAAACGCATTTCCGGCGCTCCAGCATGGCAGAGTCCGGCTCTCCGATGATGAAACACCTGACTAGAGCAGCGGCAGGCACTGCGAAAGTGCGAGTGTACGTCAAAGGTTCAACGAGTGTACTCATGGGCTCCATCGCCCCATCGCCCCATAGTTCATCCGAGTTCAAAGCCCAAACAACACACAAAAGCCGACCCATTGCCCATTGGGAACTTTTTCGTTTTGCATTATTCACGAGCACGTTGCCACATGGCGTACCCAGAGGTGCCACGAGGGATGGCGGGGGGCGGGGAGGCAACATCTTCAAGAGTGAAAATTCGAGTGGGCTTCAACTTGAAGAAAATTGTATGTTTCCCAATGTTTGTTTTTATTTTCGGTTGGCAAGCAAACAAATCTCTCCCTCTCACCCTCTCTCTCTCTCCCTTTTTTTGCGTGCCCCAACAGCTTGGCTCCCAAGTCATTTGTCATTCAAAAGGCATCATCCACTCGCAGGCGAAAGGGTTGCCTCCCCCGTGCGGATTACAAATTCACTTTTGATGGTGCGGCAATTGCAATTTTCAAGCTGCCACCAGCTGTGGCACGACAGCCCAATCGCCCAATAATGAGCCGAGTTTCTGCCACTGGCTTTTGTTTAATTGAGCTCCAAATTACTTTTCACTTTGCGATAACGATTAAACATGAAATTTTCATTAACAGCGCGAGGCCATAAGCACACGAAAGGCGGCCCCAAAAGTGGGGGGCCGACGGTTTGATACCCTTTAACCCTTTAAAAGTGATTCGATTCGATTGAATTGTGATCTGGAAGATGTATCTTCAGAAACTACATCGTTTTCCATACAAAAGATAGATTTTTCCAATGGCCTTTCTATTATATATGTATAAATAGTCTTTCGATTGGCACAAAACCTTCTTGGATTGTGCGAAAACATCTCTGTATTATATCAAAAAGCGAGTGAGCCTGGGGTTGGCGCCCGAGCAAAGCGAGCGCCCAGGGAAATTATAGAAAAAATATTCCTAATATTTGCACAAAAAATATATATTTTTAGAGCCTTGGCTCCTGGTCCGAAAAAAACCCTATACCCCCGCCGCCACTCCTAAAGGGTATACCATAAAAAACAACAACAAAAACTTTGTAACTCGAGAGTTGCTCGTAAAATCACTCTTTTGTTTGTAGCAAGCGAACAATAAACACAAAAAAGAGCAAAAATAAAAAAAAGGGTGCACAGTGGAGTGGGACTGGAGGGCTGGAGGGCTGTGCCACTTGCCACTGAAAAAGGTTAACAAAATAATAAACAAATGCCAGCGACGTCAGCGTTGACAGAGGTGCTGCTGCCGCTGCCGCTGCGCAGTCGCCACTTGCCTCAGAGTCTGCGTCAGCGGCGCTTGCGCTCAACTTTTTGTGGATTTTCAGTCAGCGGCGAGACGTAAAAGCGGCAACAACCAGAGGAAATCAAAGCCGAAGCGGGTGCGAGGAGAAAATAATAGCGAAAAAGTGAGAGAAAGGTAAACCGTAGAGAAAAGCCGAGCTGAGAAGAGAGAGAGAGAGAGAGCGAGAGAAGTGTATGAGAAAAAAAGTGCGAAAGAGAGAGAGAGAGAAAAGTGTGTGCAGCATAGAAATTTCGCGCGTTTTCCACATATTTTTTTGTTGTTTTTTTTTGGCATGACGCTTTGGCCATTTCATGGACAATAAACACATTTTGCATTAACCACAAAAATCAACAAACTGTGCAAAAGGCGGCCGCGGCGCCCCGCCCATCAATAGAAAGCATTCATCCAAGTGGGAGCCGGAGGGGGGGAAAAGGGAGGGGAGGGCCGTATGTATTTGCACTTGGCCAAGACGCCGCCGCCGCAGCTCAAGCCGCAATGAAGATGTGGGCCACAAAACCACAGACAAACAACAGCAACATCAATCGGTCATTGTGTGTCCGTGTGCGTGTGTGTGTGTGTGTGTCTGTACTGTAAATATTTTCGAATATCTGAACACATCATCGTTTGCATTAGGAGAGGCCTTAAGGAATCAATGAGGCGCATTGAATGGCTCATTAATTTACATGAATTAAACATTTCGGAATGCATTCGATTTGCCATTCAGGCTGGGCTTCAAACCATCAATTAATTGGAGTGCAATCCTGCCAAGGCTTCTCTCTGATGGTGGCCATTACCTATCGGTGGGCTAATGATCCCACCCCGACAAAATCCGGGCAAATATGCACCTGAAAACCTATTACCCTCAAAACAGGGACCATAATCGTGTTTTCGTTTCTCCACTTTCCGATGATTGAGTATCCTGCGACAAACTGCGAAACTTATTTGTCTGCTCATTGACAACGGACGCTCCACGCTCCCCGCCCCCCGCTCTCATCTGTCCTCTGGCTGCTCCTGCAGCAAACTTTTCACATAATTGATGTCCCTGCCTGCAGCAGTGTCTCTCTACAACGGGACCGCGCGAAGCAGATCGCGTGCAAAAGGCTGCAAATGCAATTTGTGGGCGACCGCAGTAGCAGCAGCGGCAGCGACAGCAAATTGATTTAGCATTTATTTCGCCCGTCAGTAACGCAGTCTATTCCGTTATTCTCCTACTCCCCTCTCCCTCTCCCTCCCTTCTTCATTGCTTCTTCTGTACTTCCATTGGCCTGCAGCAGCAGCCATGATGTTGCGGCAGCAGCCAGCAATTTAGCCGAAAATGTCATTTGAAATGTCGCCGGTCGTTCGCCACCGTCATCGTCATCGTCCCATCGTCATGCCCATCCTCATTATTGTTGTCATCATTATTTTCTTCTCATCGCTTTGGGCCCCGTATCTGGATTTCGACAGGTTTTTCATACCCTTTCAAGAGGGTATTTTTGTTCCGATTAGAAGTTTGGCCAGCATGAATCGGACGTCTTTCCTGTATTCCTTTTCCTACACTTCGCTCGTTTGCCTCTCTCTCTCTCTCCTCAGTCTGGAGTGTGACGCATTTTTGAGCGATCGCATGATTTTGCCTCTCCCGTTCTCTTGCCATTCAAAACGCAGCCGACGGCGCTCGCTCTTTCGATTGGACATTGGACTTTCTTCGCATGCTGCCTTCCCTTTAGCCCTATAGTGCCTGTGGGGTATTTTTCCTCCTCTAAGCAGAAGGGCATGTTAAACGACAGAATATATGCCCTGCTTAGAGACTGTGGACAGGGTATCTGCAGCGGCGGCACCCTGGGGCTTCGTGCTTCACAAATTTGGTAATGCAGTTCGGGTATCCATATCTATAGATGTCTAGTCATTGGATCTGTGTCTCTGACAATACGCTCTGATTATTCCGGTTGCGTTGCGATGCGCTGCGTTGCGCGGTGCACGGTGGGTTCGTTCTTTTATTCAATATTAATTCTATTTTTCACAATTCCAAAAATATGTACATTCGTTTGTGCTGCTGTATTGTCTGCTGCCTGTGTGAAAATGCCAATTGAAAATGATTTTATTCATGGATTTTATTAGCTGCTGCCTTTTTCTGAGGGCGAGAGAGGGGGCAGGGCAGGAGATTTACGCTTCGTTTGTTGGATTTTCTGCAAATGTTTTATTTTTTTTGTTGTTTGTTCATTCGTGGGCGCCGGGGCCGCTGTGGTTGTTGTTGTTGGCCATGTAAATCGCGCTTTCTGTTGTTGGTTTTTCTCGTACTCCTCGTACTACATCCAATAGATATCTGTGTTAATTAATTTGAGTCCGTCATGCGAGTGTTTTTCGCATTTTCCATTTCCATTTCCATTTTAGCACGAATATGCTGATTTTTAGTTTCTATTTATTTTCTCTTGTTTGAATAATTTACTTAAATATTTTAAAGGCCTTTAAATTGTATTTATTTCTTTTTGAATTGGTTTTTTTTTCTGTTTTGCTGGTTTTATGCTAAATAATTTGTGGCACTTTAATTAGCTTTGTTTTCTGGTTTCTCAGATTATTTATTTAACGCCTGAAGCGTCCGAAGCAATAAATATTTGGTTTTTTTTCGTTGTTCGTTTTTTGCGCGATTAAAGTCGCCTGCTAATCACATGAAAATCGCACGCAAATCGCTTTTGTGCGGCTTTTTTTTTTGTGGCATGGCCTCGCGGCAGAGCAGATGCTGCTGCTGCCGAGAAATAAATGCGGCGCGTGTCACAATAAAATTAAGTTTTCAAATGAAACAAAAGGCCAGCACGTGACATGAAAGCAGAAACGCAATTTTTCGCAATTTTTTGTTGCAGTTTAAAAAAAAAAAAAACGCGAGAAAAAGGAGAAAAAAAGTGAGAAACAAGAGAGAAATAATGCCGACACAATGAATGTTTATGGCATTTCGTGGTGGTACTCGTAAAAAGTAATTAGCAAGTGGATGCCCCATACATATGTATGTGGCAGGAACCGAGGCCCGAATCCTTGGGTTCCGGAAAAGCATTTCACATTTCATCAGCGAAAATAATCGTAATCATAAAAGTGACCGATTTTATTGGCTGGAAAAACTAAACACGCAACGAATTATCGGGCGGCATGCCACACAGTGTGGTGACATCCCGCCCAATTGGCTTTTAATTGAAACAGAAAGCAGGGTATGCCGCAACACCCGACAGAATGTTGCACAAACAAGCACGGACAAGCGGAGCAGCAGCAGACACATTAACCCCACAGTGCCCCCGAAATGGAGAGAGCAATAGAAATAGAAAATAAATAATAGTACTCCTCGTCGAGTACCTATGCAAGACCGAAAGACCGAGGCCAGAAATGAGGCCAGAGCTGGCGAGCAGAGTAAGAGTACTCTCTGGCTCCTTAGTTTTTATGTTCCTCCCATAAAGTGGGGGCCAGGCGCCGGCTCTGAGATGTGAAGGGCGGAGTGGCATTTGTTTCAGGACAAGGCCGCCCCGCCACACACTCACAGCACGGCAGGATGTGCTGGAGCTGGCTGGAGCCAGGAATAGAAACGGTAGCCAGAGGGCGCAGGACGGAGCTGGGGGCCGCAGCCATCCGGCAGCCGCCAGAATGGCGCCCCAATGGCATCCAATGGATCGCCGCATAGTTAAACATTAGTTGGCAGCATTTGCAATTGTAATGGCAAATGCTGGGTCCCCTGCTTGGTGGCCCGTGCCCCGTGCCCCATGCCCCTGCAATATGCAGCCATCCGGTAAAATGTGTGCTCTGAAGTGGCGCCGCCTATGCCAGGAGGTCGACCAGGAGGCGGGAGGCAGGAGGCACTGACAATTAGCATGGCAACAATCGGTGGCAAGGCCATTGCAAAAGTTCCAATATTCATGGAGATTTGGCTCACGAAAAGTTCACTTGCGACTATTTGCAGAGAGATTATAGAGGGGAGGGTGGGCAGGGGGGAGAGGAGAAAGAGACCAAATCCTGGGGATAGATTATCATCTGAGAGATACATTTTGGCCCCGAAATGGAAGTTTTTCCCACTCAAATGTGCTTCCCGATTTGGGTTGCACTTTTCACCGAATCATCGAGGTTCCAGCAGCCCCCTGCAGCCCCCTGGACCCCCCCCCAGCCGCCAATCAGTTAAAGCTACAACCAATTGAAAAACCCAGCCACGGCCAGAGCCAGAGCCAGAGCCAGAGCCACGGCCATAATTCTGGCCATTAATCTGGGAATCCATGGCAGACGTATTCCACTTTGCAAATGGCATCCGCCCACAACAACTACGCCACGTGCGGCAGGTGGCGCAGATCCCACGCTTCATTTCGCGCTGCTCTCGGAATGGGATGCCTGACTCCTGGCTCCTGACTCCCGGCTGCCGACTGGTGGCTAAGCAATTTTCCCTCCAATCCTTCAAAGAGCAAATAGTCCTTTGGCTTAAATGCTTTCATGGCGAAACTTTCTGTTCTACCGGAGAATCGTAAAGGTGGGGCACTGGCGCGCGTGTGTGTGGGGCAGGAGGAGATGGAATCGAATTGAATGGAATGAATGATTGCATTTAGCTTGTGTTGGCTTTTGCCGAGCGGAGGGGAAATACGTTTATTGTTTATTGGCCATTGAATCACTCGCACCGTTTGGGGGGCTTAATTCAATTGCCGCGACAGGTGGCAATGGCCCATGAAAATGTCTGATAATTTCCATAAAATCAATTAACCTTTGGCGTCCATTCTGTGTCCGTGGCAGGGGCAAGGAGAGCTACAGCTACCAGCACAACTACGTGGATCGGGTGCGTCTGGAGGACACGAACGGGGGCCACCAGCACCACCACAGCCACTACCACAATAGCAGCAGCAGCACCAGCAACGTCCACGATCCGAGGTGTCCGCAGGGACTGCGGGCTGCTGCCGCTGGCTGGCGGCACACGCACAAATCCGTGTCGCATCTCGATTTGGCCACCAGCTGCCATGAAGCAGCTGGCAATGGCATAGGTCGCCACACGCAGCACCACCCACACGGCCACCACTCGCATCCGCACCACCTGCAGCACGCCCACCACGCCCACCACTCGCATCATCCGCACGCCCAGCCCCACTGGACGCAGTGCCGCGTGGGCCTTGGCGGAGCAGGAGCAGCAGGAGGCGGACCAGGCAGCGGACAGCTGAGGAACGCCCGCTCCTTGGACTACACGCAGCTCGAGCGGGAGGAGAACGCCTTGGACATCGCCGAGTTCTACTGGCGATTCGATGCGGAAGCTCCGCTAGACCACGGCGACAGCTACGCGGGTGAGTGCCAGCCTTGGCATCCATTCAAGCATATCGCTTGTAATTCAATCAATTAATATAATATTGTATTAACTTGCTTCCCCAGTGCTTCCCGTCAACGACAACTTTGAGGCAACTCCAGCAGCACCAGCGGCAGCAGGAGAACCACCAGCCACCAGCAGCACAGTAAATGGTGGCACAACAGCCAGTGCCACAGCGACAGCGACAGCCACAGCCACAGCCACTGCCGCCGCTACACTCTTCGATCTATTGGGCAGCGAATCGTGCAGCCTGAGGCGATCGCGCAGCTTGGCGGTGATCCGTGAGGAGACATTTAGTGACCTGCAAATTGGTTCGGCAAACAGCAGCAGGCGGAGATCGCAGCTAATACCGCGTGCGCGGCTCGTTAATCGTGGATTTTTCCGTGAATCGCCGAGGTAAGTGAGTCACCCAGACACTGGGCTGCACAGCAATTGAGCCGAGCACAAAAGGAAATGCACAAATACAAGATAGGAAATGTTCTTGCTGGTCGAGGGAGGGGGAAGAGAGGCAAAAATTGTTTGTATTGCAATTTACATGGGTTTCGAATTTCGGCTTTCGAGCTTTCGTGCTTTCGGCTGTCGAGCTGATCGGCTTATCTCTTCGTTTGCATGCGAGAACGAACCCTCCCTCGCACAGCCACACAGCCACACAAGCATAATATTTTTTCTAGGCAGATGCGACGCTTTTGTATTGCTCTCTCGTTCTCTCTAACAGCAAATCAAATGAAGCGCGAAAGGAGAAGGCAAAAGGGAGAGAGAGACACGGGCTTTAGTCTTCGAAGGAATTGAGTACCGAGCAGCAGCGAGGGTATATTCGGCGGGGCTCTAGTGTGGAGTTTGTACCCGTTTTAGAGTTTTTATTGAATTATAAATGATAGATTTTTTTTAGGAATTTCAATTAAATTGGAGGATTTTTTACATAATATTGCCTTAAAAATTACAGAAAAATAAAAACAAACCCCATAGTAAATCTAGGATAAACCTTCCGTATATAAAACCCTAGTTTTGTTGTCTAGTGCTGGCTGTAACACTCACCGCCCGCCCCCATAAACGTCTTCTAATTGAGTTAAATCTGGTTTCCCCAGGCCGAGCCAGTGAAATTCTATTACCCCAAACTAGTTTTATCGAACAGAGACATCAGTTTTAGCCAGCCGCCAGCCGCCAGCCCAAACACCTTCTCATGCTGTCTGGTGCCCGTCACGCATACGCCCCGTAGACCACTGGCTTGCGCTAGTCTGCTAGATCTGCTGTCAGTCGCCGAGCTACGCTCACCGCAAGTGCAACAGGTATCTCCGCCCGTAACTCTCCGCGCGACACACGGCGCAAATTAACGGCTTCAAATCGCAGTACGTGCCACGTCCCGCGCGCCACCCGACAGTCGCCGGCAGCGAAATTGTTGCGGTTGGTTTGCTGCTGTTTGCTGTTTGTGTTTTGCTGTTTGTGTTTTGTGTTGGTTTTATGGGTTTTGTCATCTGGTCAGGGTCAGCATTTCATTCGCGGGGTCATTATTGTTGCACTCCCGTAACACAGCCGTCGGATGCTGTTGCTGTGGCTGTGGCTGCCGCTGCCGCTGCGGCTTGTGGCCTAAGCCCTGATTTGTGACAGCTGCAAAGTCCATCGAGCGATCGAGAATGTTTAAAGTCCACGCAGTGCCAGTGGCAGTGTCAATGTCGCGTGTTGCATAACAGAGTGCCACAACTCTCTCTCTCTCTCTCTGGCTCATTGGTTGCTTGTTTAATTAAAATTTCAAACTTTTTTGTTTGTCAATTGCTTGGGCAGATGCCTGCCACGCCTCCCGCCTGCCTCCAGGCGCTGCATGGCAGCGAGATGGAAAAGCTTTTAGCCCTCGTGCCACTCGTCATGCCATTAGAGCACACACACACACACACACACACACACACACACAAAGCCACAGACACACACGTTATCCTGGCAACGACAGCCGGGGCTTGAGGCATGGGGCATGGGGCATGCGGCATGGAATAGAGGAAGAAGCTTCCTTCCTTCCTTCCTGCTGCCATCCCGAGGCAATGTGTCTGCTGCCAGTTGCAGCTTTCGCTGTCCCTCGCTTTTTATTTAATTTGCCGCAAATCGTCGCATCAAGTGGCTGGGTAAACTTTCGCCGCATCCCACTATCAGGCACTGCCACTGCCACTGCCACTGCCACTGCCACTGCCACTGCCACGTGCAGCTGTAACCGAGCTGACTCCATCGGGGGCATGTCCATGTCCGCTGCAGTCGGATGGCAAAGGATGACACGGATATTGGCTAATGGAAGCTCATTTTTCGCCACTCGAGATGTTGACTGATGGGCGAAGCAGAGCTTCCCCTTGCGCTGTGATTTTTCAACTTCTGCGGGATTCCAGTCCTTGAACGAGCGCCTGGAAAACTATCGAAGCTCACTGCAATCCTTGAACGGACATGGGAGAGCCCTTTGCCACTTGTTGGGGAACCTTTCTTTGGATATTCCTTGGCATTAAGGGTCTCTCATACTCCTGCTATCCTTTTTTGTGCCCAATCAAGCAGCTCCAACTTCTGTTGGGATCTGTATTCTATCAAACTTGCGACTTTTGGTTGAATCCCCAATCAAAAGAGCTGCCAGAGATGGACCTTGAGTCCCTAATCAAGCAGCCAACACACATGTAATCCCGTGTGCTTTTTCCTGTCAAACTTCATCAATCAATCCTTTAGCAGTGGCTGTTTTCCGTTTTCCACTGCGGAATGAGAATTCATCTTTTCGGCGGTTGTTTGTTTGATTTGTCGCCATCCATTGATTGATTGAACCAACAATCTCAGTCACATGACTGACTGACTGACTGTTGGAGTGCGTGCTACGGGGGCGGGGCATGCGATTTGTGGAGCCAACAAGGCCATCAAGTGCGGCAGATTGGAGGCCCTTTAGTTTACGATTTACTCTTGACAATGGCATCATCATCATTTCGATTCCCTCCCACAGATTGAACGCCAAGCAGCAGCAGCAGCAGACGACCTCCTCCACGATTGAGCAGCCACTGGAGACGCCACCGGCGGATGACACTCAAAGTCACAGAAGCAGCAACAACAGCGGCACTTGTGATTCGCATCAGCAACAGCAGCAGCAGCAGCAACAGCAGCAACAGCAGGCACATCCCCGGGGAAGAGGGGAATCGCGTGACTTTGATTTGTACTACGATAATCTGAAACGCTTGGACGCCTTGGCGTTGGGTCTCAGCGAGCAGCTGCATCCGTGGCACAACGACAAGAGCGACTTGGAGAGCCTCAACTCGGACTACTTCAAGAATTCGTTGCATCAGAACCATCTCGAGCAGCAGCAGCAGCAGCAGGGGCCCTCATCCTTGGAGTTCGAGGCATTGGAACAGGCGGCAGTGAATCTGCTGAAGGAGCGGCCGCGCATCTACCAGTCGCGCAGGCAGCAGCAGCAGCGGAACCACCACCACCATCAGTGCCACCTGCAGCGGCACTTGCAGCAGGACACGGGCGGCGAGTCCTGTCCGGAGCACAGCCAGAGCAGCGTCTTCCCGGAGACAACGACCAGCAACTCCGACGACCAGACGGACAGCCCCTCGCTCTCCGAGCAGGAGTACGACCTCACGCACATCGAGGAGATCTACCAGCAGCAGGCAGGCGGAGTGGGAGTGGCAGTGGCAGTGGGAGCTAACGGAGTGGAGGAGAGCTACGAGATCATCAGCCTCACGACCACGGCCAGGACCACGCGATTCGAGGAGAGCTGCAGCGACCAGGAGGCGGACGACGACCAGGAGGGAGCCGACCACGTCGAGGAGGAGAGCCGCCTCACCCCCACCTCTGGGGAGATCCCGGCCAGCGACAGCGACAGCACCTTGAAGCGGGGCCACGGGGAGCACCTGATTGCCTACGACTCGGTGTATCTGTCGTCGGAGGACAGCTCCGACTGCACTCTGATCGGCGAGTCCTGCGAGTCCTTCGAGCAGCGCACCTTCACCAGCTGCGGCGAGAGCGGGGAGCTGGAGACGCGCAGCCTGCTGCACATCTCCATCGAGGACACGGTGTACGAGCCGCAGGCGAAGCACCACAAGAAGGGCGGAGCCTCAGAGGAGCAGCAGCAGCAGCAGCAGCCGCTGCTTACCACCGCCAAGGTCGAGGCACAGATCTTCACGCAGGTCCTGAAGGTGGAGCACACGCCGCAGAACAAGCCCAAGATCCTGGCAGTCGTCGAGAAGCGGAAGCTCAAGCAGGAGGAGGCGCAAGGGAAGCAGCAGCAGCAGCCGGCCACCGACTCCTTTGTGGTGGTGTCCAATCTGCAGGAGAACCAGTACCACAGCCTGCCGGATGTCAACATCGGCGTGAGCCTCAAGGTGTGCGAGAGCATCGACAAGGAGCTGAGATCCTCCTACAATCAGCAGCGCCAGCAGCAGCGGAAGGACTCGAAGCGGGGGGCGCAGGTGGTGACCCGCGCAGAGACCTACGACTCCATCAGACGCTTCGGCAGGGCCCACCAGAAGGCCAGGCAGAAGGAGCACCAGGAGAGGGAGCGCGAAAGGGAGAGGGAAGCAGCAGCAGCGGCAGGAGGGGAGAAGGAAGCCCAAAGACAGGAAAAGCCAAAGATAACAAAGGAAATCGTTGCAGCAGAAGAGCCACAAAGGCAGCAGGAGCCCGAGGAGGAGGAGGAGCCACCATTGCCTCCACCACCCCCTCCATTGACAGAAGAGGAGCAGCAGGAGGAGGAGCCCCAGGCCGAGGAGGAGCCCGAGCCAGAGCCAGAGCCAGTGTCCATTGCACAAGTGGAACAACCCAAGGAGGCGCCTGTCATCGAAGTGGCAAACTTTAGCAAACTAATCGAGCGACGTGCCCAGGAAATCCGTGAACGCAAGGACCCCGACGGAAGACAGGAGCAGCGCCGGCAGCAGCAGCAGCCACAGGAGGAGGCGGAACAGGAAGGGGAAGCGGAAGGGGAAGCGGAAGGGGAGACCCTGTTCCACATCATCGTCACCGACGCCCAGAACAATATCATCGAAAAGGAAGCCATTCACGAGGAGCACTCACTGCAGCGACCCCGCACCGTACGCCGCTCCCAGAGCTCGTCGTGTGGCAAGCCCCCGGAGCGCCGCATCCTGCACAGCGGCGGGGCGCCCATCTACAAGGCGAGGCCCATCAAAGTCCTGGCCGCAGGCCACAGCCACGGCGAGTCGACCTTTGGCCGGGGCAAAATGTCGCGACCACAGATCCTGCACGTTGTGGACGGAGGCGCCGCCGCCGAAGGCAGCCTGAGGCGCCGCAGCAGTGCCAGGAGCATAGCCTCCACCGTCAGTGGGGCGGGCGGCGCGGCAGTGGCCACGGAATACCTCCAGAAAGTGGATGCCGTGCGCTGCTATTGGCAGAAGCTGGCGGGCAATGAACCAGAAACGCCGGCCGCAGACACGGACAAGGGGGAGGCGGAGGGCCGCACGGGTCTCCACTTCCAGTTGGGTGGCAAGACCACAGCCTTGCAACAGCAGCAGCCGCCGCAGCCGCCGCAGCCGCCGCAGCCGCACAGCAACGATTTCTGCAGCATGATGCCGCCGCCCTCCATTGAGATCGTGGAACTGGGCGAGGGCGCCCAGAAGGCGACCATTGTGAGTGCCGCCCCCGATCCGGATGCCGACGAGGACGACCAGGACGAGGCCCAGTTCGATCACATCCGCTACAAGGTGCTCAAGTCGCAGCAGCTGATCCGCAGCAACATCCTGCACCACTCGACGCGCAACAAGAAGGAGGCCCAGTTCGACGGGCTCATCCAGTACCTGCAGGACTACTCCTTCCAGGAGCTGCTCAGCAACAACAACGTGGTGATCGTGGAGCCCGTGCGGACGAAGATCGAGCGGCCGCTGCAGGTGGGCGGCGGCCCAGCGCCGCGGGTGGCTGCCGCCGGCCCCCCCAAGCCGCCGCGCGTGATCCATGCCTCGGGGTCGCAGCCGCGACGCACCACCCTCCGCCAGCGGCAGATGGGGGGCGGTGGCGGCGGGGGAGGCGCCGCGGCCAAGCGGCACTTCTTCTACCAGCCCGTGAGGGTCAACCGAGAGCTGTACGAGGACGAGCTGCCCGATCCGGACACCGTGCGGAATGTGCGTCGCTTCTTCGAGCAGAACGTGATGCCGTCGCCGGGGCAGGGCCTCCTCGTGCAGTCGCAGCAGAAGTTCGGAGGCTCCGCCTGTCAACTGAGTCCCAAGACAGCCAGGCGGGCCGCCCAGGGATCGTCGTACCGATATCTGACGATAGACACGAGCTTTGGAGGCGACTCCTCCTCGTCGGGCGTGGAGCAGCCCAAGGGCATGGATCTGCTGGCGGAGGAGGAGCAGCAGCACCAGCAGCAGAAGCACTCCAAGCTGGGCCACTGGGACACCGGCAGTCTCTCGAGCGGCATCTCCAGCGGCGACCTGAGCTCCCCCTGCGGCGACTGCCATCCGCAGGAGTCGTCGCCCGTGATGGCCTGCAAGGATGTGCACGTCCAGGACGTGGTCCGGCGCCACAACAGCAATGCGGCGAACGCCAAGGCCCGGGCGAAGTTCGCCTCGCGACGCACCTGGTGCATGGGCGGGGCCTCGGCCACCAGCGACTCGCTCTATCGTCAGATTTACGAACAAAATTTGGGCCACGACGCAGAGGATGAGCAGGAGGAGGGCCACTACGACGAGGAGGAGGAGGAGGACGACGACGAGGACGAGGAGCAGGCCCACGAGCAGGACATGTGCGAGAACTATTATGTCAGCAACGTAAGTAGCGCCCCATCCCCCTCCCTCTCTGTCTTTTTTGGGTGCGGCTCGACTCTTTTTGTGCGTGTGTGGCGCAGCCTTTTGATGTCCTTGAGCTGGGTCCCAGCACTAATCGCCGTGCTGCCTTTTGCAGGACATTCTGGCCAAGATACGGGAGTGCGGCTCCACAGTCACTTACTACGGCGGCCGGGTCCTGGATGGTGGCCCCGCCTCGAAGATGTCGCCGCCACAGGCCGCCGCCGCCGCCGCCCAGCAGACGAATGGCGGCACACGCTCTCGCATACGCCAGATCGAGGCATGTAACGTGTGCCTGCCCAGCGAGAGATGCGAGCACCGATTGCAGACGAAGCAAAGCCTCGAGGAGCAGCAGCAGCAGTCGCAGGACTCCTACCAGGGTGAGGCCCACAGATACTCCCAGATCTCCGAGACAGAGAGAAAGATATACTTGTGCTCGCTCTCCCCCTCTTTGGCAGGCATCAAATTCAAGCTGGTCAAGTCGAACAGCTGCAGCAGTCGCCTGGAGCTCGCCGGCGCCGACACGGAGGTCAACGGGGGCGCCGCCGACAGCGAGGTGGTGCGCAAGATGGTCCATCATTTCGAGGCAACAGCCACGGACCCGGTGACCATCAACAGCCAGATAACGGAGGCAGCTGCCCCGCCGAGACGCCTCCAAGTGACGGTAAATAATCACATCAACGTCCAGGCGGTGCACAGAAATGAAAGCTCCAATGGAGGCAGCCACTCGGCTGGGGCAGAGGCCACAGAGATATCTCATCCCACATACGAGTCGCAGGCCATGAACATACGCCTCGATGTGGCACGTGGCAGTGCCTCGAGTGCCAGCAAAGTTTGCCGCAATAAAAATGTGGATTTGGCCTATACATTGGCCAAGCAGCCGACGCCCCAGGCAAGGGCCTGCCCGGCCCTCGAAGGCAATCAGCGGCTGCCACAAAACGAGGATGTGGCAGTGTCAAAAGTTGTCAGCAAGCAACAAACACCAGCAGCAGCAGCAATCAATGGCAGTGGCAGTGGCAGTGGCAGACCACAAATCATTGTGCCAGTGGAGATACACCAGCAGATACAGCAGCAGGTGGCAGGTCCTTTGCCCAGTGCTGCCCCCGAGCGACGGCTGAGCAATGCCAGCAGCAGTGCCGCCTCGATTGTGGACAAGACGGTGGTGCGGCACTACGTGGCGAACGACAGGAGCATCTACGAGCGCCGCAAGTACGACGAGATCGAGTTCGAGGAGTTCGAGGTGTACGATCCCAGCAAGGAGCCCCAGGAGGGGCGCCAGGAGGGGCGCCAGGAGAGGCCCCCCACGGACGCGGAGCTGTACGACAGCCTCGACGACAAAATGTAAAACGAATCAAATGCTCAAAGGGGGTTTCAGTCGACAATCGACAATCGACAATCGAATCGCATCGATAATATCTATAAAGAATACCAAAATATAATCATATTATTACACATTTTTTTTTTTTTGGTTTTCGGGCCCCAATTCGGGCTCCAATTTATGCCTTAATTTAGGTTTAAAACTATCCAAAAACTACCATAAAATATGTATTTTTTTTTTTGCTTTTTTTTACGCGCAAGCGACCGAGAGGCGCTGCCGCATGACGCGATGTTAGAGAATAATTAATTCGAAAATTACGAATACGAATACGAGTACGAGAGAGGTGTGTTAGTGTTAGTAATTCATGAAGAGAGGATAGGATATCCATCTATAACCCCATAAATCGATAAATCGATGACCCCATAAATCGAATGTCCCTGCGATTTGTTCAATTTGTAAATTAGAAACATTTGATGATAAAATAAATATGCAATTTATTTAATAATCTACGCGGAAGAGCCCATTAAGAGTCCATCCTGCCAGCCCCCAAGCCGCCGACCAAGTGCATTTTCATTTAGTTAATGGCTAATGAAATTGATGGCCAAATGCAGGGAGAGAGAGGGGGGAGAGGAGAGGGAAGTGCAGGCCCCAGTGCAGGCCACAAATGCCACTAATTGCCTCAGAACTAATCTATAATTAATCAACGATTTATGCAGCCTTTAATGGCACAGAAATGTTTATGAAATTGGCAGGCAGAAAAGTGGAAAGCGGAGAAAACCACCGGATGGATAGTGGATCAGTTTTCTTTGAATTTAATTCAATTTCACTTCAAATTAGCAACTACTGGGAGTTTTGGAAGGTCTACTAAGGGCCTAAAGGGCAGCCAGCAAAAGCTCGTCTTGAAGAAGACTTTAAGGAATCGTTTGACTGAGAGACTCTTTGGAGTTTAAAGTCCATCAAGGGTCCATCATTGGCCGCATCAATCCCTCATGAAAAGTGAATGTAAGCCACTTGGAATTTGCCTCTGGCACTCCCCAGCAACCCCCACGTATGTCTGTGGCCTTAGAACTCACGTCTCTTAATTATATTTCATAATTTTGGCATTCCCGATGATTTGCAGCTGCGATTTCTTCCTTAAGGGAATTTGTGGCACATCCTTACAGATACATACGAGTGGGGGCCCCCTTGCCTGTAAAATAAATTCCAGACTACGAATTTCTGTGTAGCGAATTCCCCTTAAGATTAGCTATAAGGCGGCACAACTGTACTAATTTGTGTGGCTTTCCATTAGGGCTGGTAAGGAAATCTCTTAAAATACACAGCCCAAAAGTAGGCAACACAAAATGTAGAGCCCCTCCCCATTTCCAGCTCTTTTCCAGGTCTTTTGGTGTTTCTTTGCTTTAATTTGGCTATAATATCTATGGATAATATATTCTCCCATTGCCAGCCCTTGCCTCTCCCTTGGATCTAGATTTTTCCCCTCAGTTTTATGGCTTACCTTCAGAACTCCTTTCTTTGCCACTCCCACTTTCAGGGCCCACGCATTTGATTCTGTATTCTTGGTTCTTCTTCATGGGCCTTGGTTCAAATTTAGCTATTTTTGAGGAGTTTCGGAAGAGATTATAGGAATGATGCCCCCCCATGGACAAGGCGGCAAAGACTCACTTCTTTCCCTTTCGATCAGATCCAAAATCTGCCTTTGAATCTTCTTTCTGTTTCTAGAGGTTTCTTGGGTGTCTTTCTTCTGCTGGTCTTTGGATCTGTTGCCCCTTGGGCCTCGATCTAACAATATGGGATATGGATATTCTTGAATTTCCCTGCGCTTGGGCTTCGGGTGGTCTTCCTCTTGCTCCATCGATTCCTTGGCTTCTTCGGACTCTTCCGATGCCCTGTCCCTGTCGTGGCTGTTCTCCTGGCCCTGTTCCCCCTCCTGCTCGGGTGTTTGCCCATCTTGATGCCCCATGGAATCTGCGACAGGTCGGGCAAATGGAAAATGATTGATCCCCCTCAAAGAGTATATCCCTTGCCACAGACTCCACTCACCTCCCGTTTCCAGTGGCGTTTTATGTTTGTCATCGTCCTCCGTTGTGGCAGCGAAAGTTCTGTGTTGCTGCAGCTCATGGCCGCCGCAAGGCCGCAAGTGCTGCAAACGATGGGAAAAAGGAAAAGGATTAACATTTAATGTTACACAAAACGAAAACGAAAACGAAACCGAAACCATTCCGCAATATTGATTGTGGCTTAAATGTGGCGTCAAAGATTCACAAAAATACAACAAAAAGGCGAAAGCCTTGAGGGAAATTTATAAGCCGCCCATCAGTTGTGTGGCACATCCTTGCAGATACATACGCCCCCCTTTGGCCCCCCTTTAGGAGTGTCACCCACCTCCTGCTGTTGCATGTTTCAGCGCGTTTCAGGACCTGTTTCCTAATTAAGTTAAAATGCTCCCAAGTGAAATCACGTGCTTCACATAACGAGGGCCAACGAGGAGCGGCAGGCGGCGAAAAGAGGGGGGAGGGGGGGGAAACGGAAAAACTCCAAAGCGTAAATACAGTTATTGTTGGTGGCATGGCATGCGCTCTTGTCTCTCTGCCTCTCTGTTTCTCTGCCACGTCAATTTTCTTCAAGAACCTTTTTTTATGTTCCTGCTGAACCCCCCCCTTCACACACCTGGGGAAAACTCGAAACTCGAAATGGGAAAAAAGGAAATCGAAAATGTAACTGTTTACACTGTCAGGCCGCCGCCCCGACCCCGAAACAGAGGGGGAGGCTGGAGCCTGGAGCCTGGAGCCTGGAGCCCGGACCTCCTGCCACGGTCGTAAGGTTAATCCCGACCAGGCTCCACACTCAAGCTCCACATGAAGCCAATTTATTGATTGGAATTACTTTAAAAAAAAACCACACACACAAAAAATCCCAACTCTTCGTTTTTGCCATTTTCTGACATCGAAAGTGATTGAAATCGGATATATATTGAGGATTTCCCCGCTTCGGATGACCCCAATTTACCGATTAATTTACCAAAACCTAAAGGGAAACCCATTCAATCAGAGATTACTTAATTTCCAAACTTTTCTCAAGGATCAACATTTAATTGATGGATTAATTCGTGGATTCTTGATGGAAATATCATGGAACGATGGGCAGAAATCTGCTACAGTGGCACTTCTTTATGAAGAACTTTTGTGCCACAAATATTACGAATTTTCCGTACCACAAATTCCCCGAGAGATTCTCTATATATGCTATATGTTTGAGATCTGAAATACAGGTAGAATTCTTGCACTTATGGAGAATTTATTTTATAAAATATTTTGTAAATTTAATTTTTTTTTATCTTAAATTTTTATTTTTTTTTTTTTTGTATAATTAGGATTGTATTTTGATTATTTTTTTTAAATTTTGATATTTAAATTTCTTTCTTTAAAAACCTGTTGGGGGAAGTCCTAAAAAGGCAACCATGGAAATGTGTAAATCTGGCATCTCCCCTGGAAAAGTCCCTTGGACTCTCAAAATATATTCCATCCACCCGAGTGCCCTCCGACCCTTGTGTTGCCTTCAGATGATGTTTTGGAAATTCATGTTTAGAAATTCATTGCATAATTTTGGGCGGCAGCCGTCAATGTGGCTGTGTCTGTATCTGTGTGCCATCCGTGGCCTCTTTCCATCAACATACACATAGATACATACGGGAGAACACATGTATATACAGGTGGGCATATGTATGTGTATTGCAAGTTCTTTAGACTGGAACCCTCCGCCACCCTGCCACATCTACCCCCCCGTAGAACCCCCTGCCAGACCGCCACATATGTGCTGTAACTTTTTCTCTGATTGGATTTCACGCTCAAGCTCAGGGCCTCCTCCAATCAAGCGTTTCAATAATTCAAATGGCAATTGGAAATGGCCCCGCCACGCCCCACGCCCCACGCCCTTGCCCCTTAAAGAACTGAAGAAATATCAAATTGTATCCAGGGAGTAATTGAAATTTAAATAGCATGCCATCACTCACACCACCTCCCCCCCGCCGCCAAGAGGATCACTGATTTTGGGGGGACACCAAAAAACTTTTTCTGATTTTCTGGCCGCCTGTCCATCCGCCAGTGACACCACAGAATGGGAGAACAGTTGCACAAACGGTGAATAAAATAAAGTTCCCCCTCCCCCCAGTGCCCCCAGCCAACACCCCACCGCCACACCACAGACAAACACAAATCCCTGCGGGAGAAGCACTGCCACAAATCGAGTTTCCACGGAGAATTTCCCTGGGAAAACGGCAGGAAAGTTATGATCCCCCCTCGCCCCAACGTCTGGTCTGTCGGTGGAGCATCAAAAATGCTCAAAAGTTGCCCCCCAACCTCCCCAAAAGGCAGCCCAAATGAAACATTAGGCGGGCCATGAATTTAACAAGCTCCGACAGCGGGTGAGGCATGCCTGCCACACGGCCTGCTGCCACACGGCCTCAAAAGTTTTTATGATTGTCCAAATAAATTGAAATCGCAGCCGCCGCTTCCTGCGGGAGGATAACCTTCGGGCCAGCTCAGCTTTTCTGCGTCTACCACGGGGAGTGGGGTGGGGGGAGTGGGGAGTGGGGGTTGGGGAAATGTATTTTCATAAATTACACCTGCTTTTCCCTGTGTTTGCGGCAAGTAGTGTGGCAGGGACAGAGTCAAATCATTTCCAGCTAATTTGTGTGTTTGGGGCAGCTTTGCCCCCCCCCAAAAGGAAAGTGGCAGCGACAGTGGCTGTCTGCGGGACATGTGGCAGCAATTGCCTCTTAATGGAACAGGGGGAATCCTCATAGAACAAACAAGAAGGAAGCTGACATCACAAAAGGCACTCGTAAGGCGAGGGGGGGGGAGGATGAGGCTTTAGGCCAGGCCATAACAATAAACACAGACAGAGAGGCAGAGAGGCGGAGGGACACGAGGCTTCCCTGGAAATGTCACACTGTCTTCCGGCTGTTCCTCAAATCTTTTTCGTCTGAAAATCTACGAGCCAGAATTTAATTGAAAGTGAAATTTGCATAAAAGCGAGACAAAAACTTTGTTTGCAACTTTCATTCGAAATAAAAACTAAATATTTAGAGGCATTTAGCAGCTGCATTTAATGGGAAATGGGAAATGGGAAACTGGAGACAGGAAACAGGACACAAGAGCCTGCAACAAAGAGAGTCCCAAACAGAAGCCCTGCCTGGCTCCTGGCTCCTCCTTTGTTCTTCCTTTTCTTTGACAAAGTCGCGTGTCAAGTGGGGGGAGGGGAGGGGGCCTCGCTGGGCAAAGGAGCAAATGGAATAATGAATCCATTTGTCAACAAACAAAATACTTTTGAGGAAAAGCCTCTCCAGAGCGCAGAGCTCGTAAAACTAAAGCGAATTCCAGAAACAATAAACCGAAGCGTTGAAAATGCAAGGACAAGAGAACATCCATCCTTCGAGCGGGGGCAAAGCGTTGGAAAAAGTATGAAATATAGCCTGAAAGCAGATCTCAAGACACGTCAATAATCTCGCAGATTGTCTATAAATATATGATAGAAGGAAAAACCAAAAGAAAGCCAAGAGAAAAGCGGTGTGGCGCAGGAAAACACAACTAATAAATTAGCCACATGCCCCGGCAGTCGGTGGGAAAATTCTGTATACTTTTTTGTGTGGTTTCTGGGTTTTCCTCTTGATTTTCACAGTAAATAGAAATGCCAGAAACACGCAGACATTTCTGCTGTGCAAAGTAAATATTTAGTTGTGCGAAAAAAACACATTGAAGAAGACCTGCAGGTCGATCGCCAAGCAAGGAGCAACCGAAACTGTCTGTACAGATCCCCAGAATTCGGGCATTTCTTGGCTAAAATTCGTACTGCCACCCGCGGAATAGAGAGAGAGGGAGACAGAGAGACAGTCCAGAGACCATCAGAAATCATCCGACATTCGCAGAAAACACGGAGAAAAAAAAAGGAGAGCGAAAAACTAGATAAAAGCAACAGAAAGAGGCAGAAGGCAGAAGCCAGACCAGACGATGGACTAAAATTAGTATGTGCTGCGAGCGTGTATATTGACAGATACACACACACACGCACGCATACACAGGCACAAAAGCCGAAAATAAATGGAACGAGATAGATTTTTCACATGAGAAAAGAGATGCCACAATTTGTCGTTTTTCGTTTGTCGGTTTTATCATATTTTGATAGAACTTTGGCGATATGTACATTCCAAGAGAGCGAGGGAGAGGGAAAGAGAGGGGGCAAAGATATTGACTAAATGGCCAAGAAGATAGACAGAAGTTTCGACCTGAATGCAAAGATACTTAGATACATAGATACACGTACGAAGGCTGCTCATCCTCCTCCTTCCACCCCCCCTCCTCCACCCTCCACAGGCAGAAACGGAATGTCCGCCTGTTTAAGGCCTTTTCCAGGCCTATCCCCCCCCCCCCCTCCCCCCTCGCCGAAAAGTGTTTGGGTTTTATGGCACCATTTATAAATGTTTTACTTCTGTTTAAATGCCTGCTGTGGGAATTGTTTGCCGACTCCCGTCTTGAGGGGTCGGCTGTGGCCGGGCCTGCATGGCGTATGCGTAATATTCAGGAATTTCCCGCTTAGGCCAATTTTGATAATGGCCAGGCCGTATGTGGCGTGAAAATATATGACATTTGCTGAGCATTGATTCCATTAGAGGATTACGAAAAGACTAAAACAAATTCCATTAATTAATGGTTTAATTGTAATTGAAAAAGAGAGATGCCCCAGGGGGCACACATCGGGAGAGAGAGAGAGAGAGAGATTCTGTGTGGCACCTGCCCGCCGGTTAAGTGGTTCGTGCGGCCACTAAAAGCCTCAACCGATTCAAGCGCCTCAATGGGGAGGGCACTGCCCGTGTGTGGGCATAGAACCAAACCCCAGACAGTAATTGCATTACTCACTCAAAATAATGGCTCATTGGCTCAAAGGAAAGAGGGGGAAGGACCAATGGAAGGCCAGGAGATTGCCTAGAAAAATGGGCAGGCTTTAATGAGCAGAATACTCGCCAGAATTTCCAGCCGAGGCTTCTCTGCCCCTGCCCCTGCCCCCTTTGAGTACTTTCTTTCGTTCTTTCTCCTCCCAAGGAAAGGAAAACACGCCTTTTGCCTTTCGGCTGGCAGGAAAATCCAGCTGTCGGCATCTTGAAAAGGGACGACCCTTGGCCCCTTGCCCTGCCCTGCTCTGCCACACGTTGTGGCTGTGGCTGTGGCCTCTTGGCCATATGCATGAGCAATTTCCAGCAGCAGCGGCAGACAGTCGCTTGTAATTTTAATTTTAATATAAATATAATTAACACTCACAAAAAGCGATAAAATAAATTCCAGCGACAAAAGAAAGAGGACACAGAACTGCGGCGACACGGCCCAATGCTTATCAGCGAAAAGGCCAAGGGGGCATGGCCTAAAGGCCTCGCCAGGCGACAGGCACTTTTTTTTGTGCTTCAAAAAAGGCACACAAAAAAAACACACGGGGATGGAATGTTTAATGGAATTCATGGACTTGCAAATGGAGTGGAATATTTTTTTGAAATATCTCCCAAAAAAAAAAAAAAAAAATTTTTGGAAAATGCCAATCGTTTCAATCAGTGGAATCTGTGTCTGTGTGTGTGGGTGTGTGTGTGTGTGTGTCTGTGTGTGTGTGTGTGAAAAACTGTTGCAATTATTCTTTAAAGATACAGTATTTGTCCACAGAAATATTTATATGCACCACAGATCCGCGTCATCCGCGGCATTGTGGCATTTGTGGCATCCACATCCGTTAACGTATCCCCATTCGTATGACAGACTTAAGTGGATATTAAGCAAACCCTCTCCTGGGAAAAACCAGAGACAGAATTTATGTTGCTCATTTTCTGTGTGGCACCGCCCGCCACCCGCCGCCTGCCGGTGCCAGAAATTTGCATATAATAGCAGGAATATTCGCCAGCTGTGGGGCAAACAGCAGCAGGGCTGGGGTGCATGCCACAAGAGGAGTGCCGTGCCTTAGACATGGCCTGAATTAATAATGGAACCTTTTATGCGGTTCTCGGGCCTCGCTCGCTCGCTGTCCCTTTTGTTTAGCCCTTAAATTGTCCCCCCTCCACCCTCCACCCGCCACCCGAAATTTATTCAAAGATTGGTGTCCTGCTCCAAATATTTGCCACTCGAAACTCGCACTTTGTACTTGTCTGTTTGTGGTGGGGATTATGGCAAGATAATGTCCAATATATGGACTTCAATACACTGCAGGAATACAAGTGCGGCCCCCCCCCACACCCCCTCCCATTCCGGTAAAAAACGTGGATGTATCTCATCTTTCAACTGCGGCAGCACTTGAGAAATCTTAAATTGAATTGTGATTTAACAAGCAATTTATTTGTGTGCAGAATATTCAGTGGAATGGTAGGGGTAGGGGGAAGGGTGGGGGGGGGATATACATATACATATATATATATATAGTTTCCCTTTGGCAATCTTTGCTGCTGATAAGAGTGTGGTATCGCTGTGGCAGTTTAAGTGCTTTGGGCGGCAAAAAAAAAACATTGATAAAGAATGAATAAATTTCCGTGTTAAAGGAGGAGAGGGGAAGGGGCGGGAGAGGGAAGTAGCTAATGCTTAAATATGTAGATTAGAGAAAGAGAGGGGTGGGGGTGGGTGGCAGGGGTAGAGCGTGTTTTTCTATCTAATAGATACACGTGAAGCAAGTGGGGCATGGTTCCAGTGGCTGCCAGCCAATAGTCATTAGATAAACATCAAAGCGTGTGGCATTCAATGGGCGGCGTGGGGGCGGTGTGGGTGGCAGTCGACTTAAAGCCAAAGTCAAGTGCAGGGCCATAACACGCAAGAGGCAACTTCACTAAACGGTATACACATACAAACACGTATTTAATACACATGTATGTATATATGTATGTGTATATATGAGAGTGCCAGATAAGCAGCCATAATAGTTGTATAGATACTTGTAATGTCCTTCGCTCCCCCGGCTTTGGCTTTCCGATGGCAAGTACTTGCAAAACTGTTATGGCCAGAGGATACACAGATACTCATGCGTAGATGCCCCCTCTAGTAGATGCCCCCTCTAGTAGATGCCTCCCTCTGGTAGATGCCCCTCCTCCGCAGGCATAACTTGAAGTTTTCCGCCGATGCCGTCGACAAGGACCCTAATGAGGTCGCTCGCTGGGCCAGCCTCCAGCCTCCTGGCGGGCCCAATTAGCCCCTCATCGTGCGATAGCATCCTGCATGCGATAGCATTAATTACGCATATAATCTTGCACTCTACGGAAAGGGAAGCGAATATCCCTTCTGCCATATGCAAATTCTACTTTTCGGTTTTGGGCGCAAAAGATTTCGTAGCCGCTGATAAATGTGCAAAAACGTGCACAAGTTGGCAAATCCCCCAAGACGGGGGGTGGGGGGTGGTGTGGGTGGTGCAAAATCCCTTACCATTATATGCAGATTTGCTGCGGCTTTGCCAGGGCTTAAGTCGTGTGTTTTCTGCCATGTGGTGCCCCACCCCATGGTGGGTGGGGGGTGGGAATTTGTTGATCAAACAATATTTGATAGCATTCGAGGTAGTTGTAGATTAGCAAAAGTCAAGGCGCTGGGCGACAGATAGGAAAAGCCTTTTTTGCCACAATCCAACTAATTCTTGAACAAACTTTGGCTTTTCCTCGGTGACAAGTGGCTAGAAAATGATTTTAATAGAGTGCTTAAGCGGCGCAGAGAGAGCTCTTCAGCTTAGCAGGTGCGGGGGGGCAGACCAAGCGGGGAATTTTAAGTATCACCCACTAAGCCTGATTTAATGAGTGGCGACGGGGAAAAAGTGACCTCTGGACACATATCATGGATGTACTCGGGGGGCATAATCTCCCGCTTAAAGCCTGACCTTTGGCCGCACAGTGGCAGTGGCGGTGGCAGTGTGGCACATTTCCATTCATACGAGTGCAGGATGTATTTCCATTTGCATAAATGTCGCATAGTTTATTCGTTTTTCCACACGGACAGAAATAAAGCCGGCTTTCAAAGCCTGAATCATTGCACTCGAATTCGTATATTTAATCAAATATCAATTGATTGCTACGCCATCCTTTGTTCCCAGGGCCAAAAATAATTGTTTACCGAGAGAGGCAGAGAGAGAGCGGGGTAGGGGGGGGGCTGATCACATATGTAGCAACAGCCACGCCCCAGCGCCCATCAGGAACACGAATATATGTATGGCCGGAACAAAGGCACAAACAAATGGCCAACAAATCCAAAATCCGAGCGCAAGCCAAAAATCCCATTGAAAAGGGAAGTGTCTGTCGAATCGGGAGACAGAGAGACAGACAGACAGCGAAAGAGTGGAGAGCATAGCGAGAAAGAGAGATATTGCAAACACACACACACACACACACATTCCGCCGTGTATGAGTATTGTGTGGCAGACAGAATGGCGCCAATAAAAGTTTTTCGACGCAGCAAAGAGGAAGGACTCGGCGAAACTTTAAAGATGAAGCCATCTTCCTGTGGCCGGAAAAACTTCCGAAATTCGAGCTTAAAGAATGAAAGCCATGAAGAAAAAACTTCACTCAAGCAGGGAGGGTAATAAATATGAGATCCCATCCAATCTTTAATCTGAATATCCTCCTCAATGTATCAGTCGGGAGGCGGGAACCAGAGCCTCGAGGGTCCAAAGGCCAAAAGCCGTGTCGGGAGGTTGACGAAACTTTTTATTCAAATACGCGAGTGCGAGTGCGAGTGCGAGTGTTTTTTGTATGCTCTTCGCAATCAATGCTGCTTCTGTTGTTGCTTTTGTTGACTTTAATCAGCCGAAAAGAGAGCAAAAAGACAGCAATGCAAATTGAGATAGACAGAACGCACACACACACACAGAGAGAGATATGTGTGTGTGTATGTGTGCACAAATAACTTGCTGAAAGGTAAATAATCCCGCTACAAAATCTCCCCGAAATGACACGAAGAGTGGCGCCGCTATCTTTGCACTCTACCTCCCCCCACCACCCCACCCCTTCCACTGTTTGCCCGTGTGCCTACCGCTCTCCCACTCTCTCTCTCTCTCTCTCTCTGTGCCTGTCATAATAGGGAGAGCACGCCGGCTTGTGCTGCCTCTCTGTGACGCTTGAATTTAAACATTTTGCATGCAAATCGAGTTTTACATGAAAAAGTAAAACAGAGAGGAAAAGCATTTGTATTCCTGCATTATATGTTGCTTCTAGTATCTACGCTTCCTTTGCTGATTCATTCGCGTACAATCAGAGATCTGTGTGTATGTATGTATGTATGAGAGCTGATAAGCAGTGCTTTCTTTCTCATTGTAATCCGAAACAGCATCATTATTGAATGATTCATTCATTTCGATACGAGAAGCTCTACAATCTATTCAATTTCAAGCCTGACCTGCTGTGAGAGGAAACTGTTCTCTCGCTCTCGCGAAAAACCGCAATTAACAATCACCCCTCCCCCACCCGCCGCCTCATGCCATCGCTGTCATTCTCCCTAATGCAATGATAAACATTTTTGACAGCTGTTTTGTTTGCTGTTTCTTTTGCTTCACCTTTGCCCAGGGTCTAGGGAGCGGGAGATGGAGATGGAGATAGAGTTGACGACGCGCAGGTGCCACAAAGCTACAGAACTACATAGTAACTCATTTACTCTCACTCGAAGAGAGCCCCGAAACGGAGTCAGCGAGAGCGAAAGAGAGAGGGAGTTAAACTCCAACTGAAGTCCGACTCAAACAAGAAGAGAGTGGAGTGCGAACAGGGGGCCGCACATGCTGAAAGAAGAGCGACAAACAGACAGACAGAAAGAAAGAAATCAAGCAACAACAAAAGTGCTTGTTTGTTTGTCTGACTTTTCGGACTGGTTCTTTGCTTAAATTTTAATAATTTCAAATAAAACATATGCCACACGCACACACACAAGAACGTGGACAACGCACGCATGAGGCGAACATCTTCATGCATATGTATTTGTGTATCTCTTTGCGTGTACATTGAGTATATTTTTATAAATTCCAATACACCCGCCAGTGACGTCTGCAACAGCTGCTCCCCCGGAGCGCAGGGTATGTTTGTGTCTGTATCTTTTTCGTATTCTATTTTTTTTTGGTTTTGTCTTCCACTTACCAGAGCAAAGGCCGTCACAGGGCCCAAACGCAGGCCACGATGCCGACTGACACCCGAGGGACGCAGGAGCAGGCGGAAGGCGCTCACCACGGCAGCGCCGCTTCTGGACATGCTGCTTTCCGTCCGATTACACTACACTACAACAAAAAAAAACCAGCACTTCGAGGGGGTGGTGGGTGGTTGGCGGAGGGACGGCTTGTCACGCCTACCGGATCACAGCAATACGTTTGTGGGGGATGGGGGGGACTTGAGTGAATCACAAACACACTGCGAGCGTGTTAAGAAGAAATGAGTGAGCGTAACGGTTATTCCACGAACTTGACTCGAAATTCCGATGTTGTTGTTGTTGTTTTTCGACTAAAACGATCTTGGGTTCACGAAAAATTTTATTTGGTCAAACGGGTCACAAAAATTTCAAAAAAATTCGATTTGTCTTCGAAGTTCTTGCGATCTTCGCATTCTGTGTTCGAAAAACGAATGTATCAAACTCTACAAACATTTAACCGTACGAATTTACAAGACAAAAAATTGAACTGCAATAATAAAAAATATTTTACTTTAAATTTAGTTTGAGCACTAAAACGAATGTAATTTATTTCAATGTCAATTGTTGTTCAGCAATGCAACAAGCAGCAACAACAACGAAAGCGAGCGCCAAAAACGTGGAATGACAATGGAGGAGAGAATTACCGGTTTGGGCTGTGGACAGGTGATGGCCGAAGGGCAGCGACTCTTCCCGGAGTTTTTTCACTCTTCCTTGAAGCACTGGATAAAACAAAACATGCACAAAAAAACAACGGCACAACGACAAGCACTCGGATTCTACAACGCCGGCTTTAACTTATCGCAATTAATTATTAACAAGTCGGCTTTTTTGCTTTCCCTTCTCTTTTGCACTCTCTTCGCCCTCGACCCAGACACCGGCTCTCTTTTTGAACACACGACGACGTTTTCGACTCGAATTGTCGCTAATTATCAAGTACCTGTTTGCACGTGCTTTATCTATGTATTATTCACTCGATTTAAAAAAAAATTGTTGCCAGTGCTTTTGGAGAAAAACCAGACGTAGACGCCCTCTCAACGTCGCGCGCGGAACTTTTCTGACGCAAAACGCAACTAAGAGCGACTGTTATTTCGTTGGCCGCACACACCACAGAACAAAACCAAAGACGATAGTCATTCATATTGTTCAATTTTTATATTCCGTTGAATAATTCTGGCTAACTAAAGCCCTTAGTTCTGCCCACATAATTTTAGACCGTTGATGAATCAATTTTCTACAAGATTGACTAGTTTTTAGTCCTTGCTTTTATTGTTCTTTGACTTAAACAAGGTTTAAGCAAAATAGTTCACCAAAAAACACAGTCGCAATGTTGCTGGTTTTTAAGACATGATGCGAACATAGACCTTTGTATACCCTATTTCGTTAATTTTATATGAAGATGAAACGTTATTTATAAAGACCTTTTCCCAAATTGATATGTCTTAGACATATTCATGTATTTGATTAGTATCTTGTATATATTTATCTCGATCCTGATACCTACGGAGCCTTGGATGACAAACATTTTCTCAATTCTATAATTTCCTTTTCCCTAGGGTATGAAAATTAGTGTTGCCGGGAATCATTGTTGTCAACCGGGCCATTACCGATTCAAGAAATACGACGAATTCCCCAATTTTGATCTTCCGTCGAATATTACCAGTTAAATAGACCATTTAGCCATGCCCACATAATTTTATACGATTGATGAATCCATTTTCTATTTGTCTGGCCTATTCTAAATACTTGCTTTCATTGGATTTCTATATAACGTTGAAAAGGAAATTTAATAGATTGATGAAATTGACAAAATATACCGATATGTCGCAAATATATCGTCGGTTCAATTTTGACCTAAAAAATACCGAAAAGTATTCAAAATACCGTAAACGGTCACCCTGCCGTAAACACCACGCACAAAAAGTTCTTTGGCAGAGCGACAGCGCCGGCAGCAGTTTTAGACTTTTTCCGACTCATAATCTGGTATATTTTGGTATATTTTATCGATAAAAGGTAGGCAAAAATCAGCTGATTTTTCTCAGCTGAAATGAACATATACCACGTTTTTGATATTCCGTCGAGTATTGCTAGGTAGATAGACCTCTCAGCCCTGCCCACATAGTTTTATCCTATTGATCAATACATTTTCTACAATATTGGCTAGTTTTTAGTCCTTGCTTTTATTGTATTTTGACTAAAACAAGGTTTAAACAAAAAAGTTCAGCAAAAAAACAGTCGCAATGTTATCACGTCAATGTTGCTGGTATTTCAAGACCTATTGCTTATCAAAAAGAGTATAGACATTTGTTTACCCTATTTCGTTGATTTATTACTAAGATCCTGATATCCAAACAGTTTTTGAAACGTAATTAGTACAACAATTTTCCCAAACTGATATGTTTTAAACGTATTTATGCATTTGATTAGATTCCTGTAAATACTGTATATCCGATACTCATTCTTGGGGTCTGTAAGAAGACCACTAATTGCAAAATATCGTTGGAATACCTTTAGTCAGTCTCTGACTAGTTTCTGAATTAATTAAAGCCTGGGATGACAAACATTTCCGCAACCCTATAATATCCTTTTCCCTAGGGTATGCCGAATTCTGCCCATGTTGCGGGACATGCTGCTATTTTTCTCGGCACATGAGTCTGACCCATACGAAAGCAAAAATCGCGTCGTTTCCGTTGCAAACCCGTTTCAGTTAATGTGCGATATATTTAAACCTGTGGAAAAGGAAACCCACGATATGAAAATATAAGTTTATATGGATATATTATATGTGGTGTACATGAAATATATACATTTTAAAAGTAACTTATCAATACCAATTTTAATACTAGGCCGACACCGATGTGCCCGCCATCGTTTATCATCTGCTTCACCTTCTTGGTCTTTCGGTTTATACGAGCGCGTGGACGCTTGATGACGGTTATCCACTCCAGGCTATATCTCAGACAAATAAGGCCAAATCGGTGAAGGACCTACTTTCCCAGGATCGCGAGGACCCAGACTGTCGATTTGCACCAAAATCTCGACTTCGAAAATGAGGCCGATTTTTGGCAAATTTAATGATGTAACCATCATGATTTTTTGCGAAAATCGTGATAAAATGGATGTCCTTCTTTCCGATGGCAGTCGACTGGCGGGACTCTCCCGAGCACGGAATGGCATGCCGCGCCCCGATCGGCTGCCGTATTGCAGAGATATAGCGCACAGAAAAAACCAGTATTTGAATGATATGCCAATCTTCGGTAGGCTATATCTCAGACAAATGGCGCCAGATCGGTGAAGGACCTACTTTTCCAGGATTGCGATCACGGAATGGCATGCCGCGCCCCGATCGGCGGCCTTATTGCAGAGATATAGCTTACCGATTAAACCAGTATTTTAATGATATGCCAATCTTCGGTAGGCTATATCTCAGACAAATAGGGCCAGATCGGTGAAGGACCTACTTTCCCAGGATTGCGAGGACACAGACTGTCGATTTGCACCAAAATCTCGACTTCGAAAATGAGGCCGATTTTTGGCAAATTTAATGATGTAACCATCATGATTTTTTGCGACAATCGTGAAAAAATGGATGTCCTTCTTTCCGATGGCAGTCGACTGGCAGGACTCTCCCGATCACGGAAAGGTATGCTGCGCCCCGATCGGCGGCCTTATTGCAAAGATATAGCTTACCGATTAAACCAGTATTTTAATCATATGCCAATCTTCGGTAGGCTATATCTCAGACAAATAGGGCCAGATCGGTGAAGGACCTACTTTCCCAGGATTGCGAGGACACAGACTGTCGATTTGCACCAAAATCTCGACTTCGAAAATGAGGCCGATTTTTGGCAAATTTAATGATGTAACCATCATGATTTTTTGCGAAAATCGTGAAAATATGGATGTCCTTCTTTCCGATGGCAGTCGACTGGCTGGACTCTACCGATCACGGAGAGGTTTGCCGCGTCCTGATCGGCTGACGTATTGCAGAGATATTGCGCACATAAAAAACCAGTATTTTAATCATATGCCAATCTTGGGTAGGCTATATCTCAGACAAATGGCGCCAGATCGGTGAAGGACCTACTTTCCCAGGATTGCGAGGACCCAGACTGTCGATTTGCACCAAAATCTCGACTTCGAAAATGAGGCCGATTTTTGGCAAATTTAATGATGTAACCATCATGATTTTTTGCGAAAATCGTGAAAATATGGATGTCCTTCTTTCCGAAGGCAGTCGACTGGCAGGACTCTCCCGAGCAAGGAATGGCATGCCGCGCCCCGATCGGCGGCCTTATTGCAAAGATATAGCTTACCGATTAAACCAGTATTTTAATCATATGCCAATCTTGGGTAAGCTATATCTCAGAACTATAAGGCCAGATCGGTGAAGGACCTACTTACCCAGGATAGCGAGGACCCAGACTGTTGATATGCACCAAAATCTCGACTTCGAAAATGAGGCCGATTTTTGGCAAATTTAATGATGTAACCATCATGATTTTTTGCGAAAATCGTGAAAATATGGATGTCCTTCTTTCCGAAGGCAGTCGACTGGCAGGACTCTCCCGAGCACGGAATGGCATGCCGCGCCCCGATCGGCGGCCTTATTGCAAAGATATAGCTTACCGATTAAACCAGTATTTTAATCATATGCCAATCTTGGGTAAGCTATATCTCAGAACTATAAGGCCAGATCGGTGAAGGACCTACTTACCCAGGATAGCGAGGACCCAGACTGTCGATATGCACCAAAATCTCGACTTCGAAAATGAGGCCGATTTTTGGCAAATTTAATGATGTAACCATCATGATTTTTTGCGAAAATCGTGAAAATATGGATGTCCTTCTTTCCGAAGGCAGTCGACTGGCAGGACTCTCCCGAGCACGGAATGGCATGCCGCGCCCCGATCGGCTGCCGTATTGCAGAGATATAGCGCACAGAAAAAACCAGTATTTGAATGATATGCCAATCTTCGGTAGGCTATATCTCAGAACTGTAGGGCCAGATCGGTGAAGGACCTACTTTCCCAGGATCGCGAGGACCCAGACTGTCGATTTGCACCAAAATCTCGACTTCGAAAATGAGGCCGATTTTTGGCAAATTTAATGATGTAACCATCATGATTTTTTGCGAAAATCGTGAAAAAATGGATGTCCTTCTTTCCGAAGGCAGTCGACTGGCAGGACTCTCCCGAGCACGGAATGGCATGCCGCGCCCCGATCGGCTGCCGTATTGCAGAGATATTGCGCACAGAAAAAACCAGTATTTTAATCATATGCCAATCTTGGGTAGGCTATATCTCAGACAAATTGGGCCAGATCGGTGAAGGACCTACTTTTCCAGGATTGCGAGAGTCCAGACTGTCGATTTGCACCAAAATCTCGACTTCGAAAATGAGGCCGATTTTTGGCAAATTTAATGATGTAACCATCATGATTTTTTGCGACAATCGTGAAAAAATGGATGTCCTTCTTTCCGATGGCAGTCGACTGGCAGGACTCTCCCGATCACGGAAAGGTATGCTGCGCCCCGATCGGCGGCCTTATTGCAAAGATATAGCTTACCGATTAAACCAGTATTTTAATCATATGCCAATCTTCGGTAGGCTATATCTCAGACAAATAGGGCCAGATCGGTGAAGGACCTACTTTCCCAGGATTGCGAGGACACAGACTGTCGATTTGCACCAAAATCTCGACTTCGAAAATGAGGCCGATTTTTGGCAAATTTAATGATGTAACCATCATGATTTTTTGCGAAAATCGTGAAAATATGGATGTCCTTCTTTCCGATGGGAGTCGACTGGCAGGACTCTACCGATCACGGAGAGGTTTGCCGCGTCCTGATCGGCTGACGTATTGCAGAGATATTGCGCACATAAAAAACCAGTATTTTAATCATATGCCAATCTTGGGTAGGCTATATCTCAGACAAATGGCGCCAGATCGGTGAAGGACCTACTTTCCCAGGATTGCGAGGACCCAGACTGTCGATTTGCACCAAAATCTCGACTTCGAAAATGAGGCCGAT